TATGGCAAGCCTAAATAAGTTCAGGAGTAAAAATGTGCTTGTGGTCCTCTGTAGCTCAATTGGTAGAGCATGGCGCTTGTAACGCCAGGGTAGTGGGTTCGATCCCCGGGACCACCCATACGTAAAAATGTATGCACACATGACTGTAAGTCGCTTTGGATAATAGCGTCTGCTAAATGGCATATTATTATTATTTAACAAGTCACATAATAAGTTGCATGGACTCACTCTGTGTGCAATAACAGTGTTTAGATTCAGAGTGTTTAATAGTCACATGTACAGGGTTGCAGGTAGGATTGCAGGGTACAGTGAACATTTTAGGCTCCGAGCTCCAACAGGCAGGACTAAGTGAAATAAAATAATGAAAAATGAGGAGGGGGAGGGGGGAGCAGATAGCTGTCTAGTGGTGGCTATTCAGCAGCCTGATGGTCTGAGGGTAGAAACTATTGGCCAGTCTTCCAGTTTTTGCCATGCTGCTCCTGTACTGCCCACGTCTGAGTGATTGAAGCAGGGAGGACAGGGCATGGCTTGGGTGGCTGAGGTCCCTGATGATCTTCTTGGCCTTCCTGTGACACCAGGTGTTGTAGGTGTCCTGAAGGGCAGGCAGTGTGCACCCAATGGTGTGTTCGGCTGCACGTATCACCCTCTGAAGCGCCTTGCGGTCCACGGCGGTGGAGTTGCCGTACCAGGCTGTGAAGTCCAGGACCCAATTGCATAGGGAGGAGTTCAGACCCAGGGCCCTGAGCTTTGTAATGAGCTTAAAGGGCACTATGGTATTGAAGGCTGAGCTGTAGTTGATAAACAGCATCCTCACATATGCATTCCTTTTGTCCAGGTGGTTAAGGGCAGTTTGCAGTGCAATGGCGATTGCGTCGTTCGTGGATCTGTCAGGGCGGTAGGAAAATTGGAGAGGGTCGAGTGCGTCGGGGAGGGAGGAGGTGATATGGTCTTTGACTAGCCTCTCGAAGCACTTCATGATGACGGAAGTGAGTGATACTGGTCGGTAGTCATTCAGTTCAGTTACTTTCCATTTCTTGGGCATGGGGATGATAGTGGACATCTTGAAGCAGGTGGGTATAGCGTCCGAGAACACAACAGCCAGCTTGTCTGCACATGCTCTGAGGGCACAGCTAGGGATGCCGTCTGGGCCAGCAGCCTTACGAGGGTTAACACGTTTGAATGACTTACATATGTCCTCAGTGGAGACTGAGTGTGTAGCCCACGTTGTCATCGGGGGCTCTCCTCGGCAGCTCATTGTACTCGAATCGTGAGAAAAAGGTGTTTAGCTCATCTGGCAGGGTGGCTTTGGTGACCGCGATGTGGCTGGCTTTCTTTTTGTAATCCGTGATCGTTAGGAGCCCCTGCCACATACGCCTTTAACATCTCTGTACCCCACACATACAATTTTCTGTAAGGTCCCTCATTCGAGCACTGAATTTCAAACACAGGTTTTCCAATGCCTCGCAAAGAAGGCCATCTATTGGTAGATGGGTATATCTTTTTTTTAAAGCACACATTGAATATCCCTTTGAGCATGGTGAAGTTATTATTTACACTTTGGATGGTGTATCAATACACACAGTCACTACAAAGATACAGGCGTCCTTCCTAACTCAGTTGCCGGAGAGGAAGGAAACCACTCAGGGATTTCACCATGAGGCCAATGGTGACTTTAAAACAGTTACAGAGTTTAATGGCTGTGATAGAAAACTGAGGATGGATCAATAACATTGTAGTTACTCTACAATACTAACCTAATTGACAGATTGAAAAGAAGGAAGCTTGTACAGAACACAAACATTCCAAAGCATGCATCCTGTTTGCAATAAGGCACTAAAGTAATACTGCAAAATATGTGACTTTATGTCCTGAATAAAACACGTTATGTTTGAGGCAAATCCAGCAAAACACATCACTGAGTACCACTCTTCATATTTTCAAGCATGGTGGTGGCTGCATCATGTTATGGGTATGCTTGGCATCGGCAAAGACTATGGAAAAATCCTAGAGGAAAACCTGGTTCAGTCTGCTTTCTAACAGACACTGGGAGACAAATTCACCTTTCAGCAGGACAATAACCTAAAACAAAAGGCCAAATATACACTGGAGTTGCTTACCAAGACGACATTGAATGCTCCTGAGTGGCCTAGTTACAGTTTTGACTTAAATCAGCTTGAAAATCTATGGCAAGACTTGAAAATGGCTGTCTAGCAATGATCAACAACCAACTTGACAGAGTTTGAAGAATTACAAAAATAATAATGGGCAAATATTGGACAATCCAGGTGTGGAAAGCTCTTGGAGACTTACCCAGAAAGAATCACTGCAGTAATCGCTGCCAAATGTATTGACTCAGGGGGTTGAATACTTACCTAATCAAGATACTGTATATTAGTGTTTTTATTTTATTTTATTTTTTACAAATGTTTAGATCGTTGTCTTTGTAACACAACAAAATGTGGAAAAAGTCTAGGGGTGTGAATACTTTCTGAAGGCACTGTAGGGGCAAGTAGTGGATTTTAATGGATGTAGGATTAGTTGGTAGGGCAATTTTTCCTTCCTTTTCCCTTCCCTTGTGTGTCACTAGCTAGGTTTCCATCCAATTCCTGACAGATTTTCATGCGAATATTCTAAAATCTGCATAAAACAATATGCGCATTTTCCCACCAGTGTTTCCATCAAACAGACTTTTTGCGGATAAAAGGCTGTGCGTGATGTAGTGCACATAAAAATAACTTTTGCTGGTTCAATTCCCATGTACTGAATGAAAAATACAAGTTAAATGTGTTTCCATCACAGGCAGAGCCCCACCGGTTTAGCTAAAAAGTAATCATATATATATATTTTTGCCTGTTTTGCATGTTATTTTGCCATTAATACGTGTCACATATCAGTTTGCAAACAATATAAAAATAAAATAATCATTGAGTTAATGAAGCTGCATACAAACATGGTCTCTTTTTTGCTTTCTTGAGTAAGGCAGCTCCAAAATGCAGGTGTTTCAGCCTAGCTCAGTGCTTTCTTTGGTGGTGGGGCAGCCAGTGGAAAATACAGAGCGTAGGGGTTGGTAATGTTCTCTAGTTGCGCCGTAAATGTCTCAGTGTTCTGTCACTCATGGGGACACTACATCACCGCAAAATCTACGGGGAGAGCTCGAAAATTCAAGCCCCTTGGGTGCTGCCATGGATTTACATCCATCCAAGAAGGCTCAAGGGCATTGGCCACAGATAAAATGACGTCCACTGATAGCCAGGTGTAGCGGTGGTAAGGTTTCACTCCATGGTGCTGAAAATAAAGCTCTGCTGTTGTGACAGCTTTATGTAGGCCCTAACAGTTTGTGGGCACCGTTTGTCACCGTTATAGTGCAATTAATGTATTGTTTAGTGTTGTGTTGTGTAGTGGCTTTGCTGGCATGCATCTAAAACATTTTTGGGGAGTTTGCCCCACCAAGACTTACATGCTAAAATCGGCACTGGTTATATAGCAAATGTGCCCACTCTGGTCTTGGTACATGCACTTTAGCCAACAGCTCACAGATACAGTGCAGGTAGGCTACCTATTATGAGATTATTATGGATAAGAGCGATATTATTTGTATTTGTCAAACAGCAGTCAAGCATCGATCATCATGTCACCAGAATAAGACCCTCGATATTTATTGAAAAGGAGCATCATGCTCATCACCTTGCACTTTCACCAGCCTGTGAAGTTCATCATAATTTATTTCATCTGTAACCTAATAAACTGCATGCTTTCCTGAGTCGTAGTGGGAGGACCACACAACATATCATCACGACTCCAAGTTTACTTCGATATGATTGTTATTATATATCAATAGTGTTTCTCGCATAATTAATTTTACAGACACAAAAAGATCCCACCATGTCGAACGAACAAATTGTCCGTCGGCATTTATAATAAATGTACCGCCATTTCATGTTTCCATTAACCCAGTCATTACTTTTTTCATGTGTCAGGTAATTCATCCGCATGAAAGGGTTGGATGGAAGCGTGGTTACTAAGTGTAATGAATTCACACTCCAGAACAGTAGGCGGAGACACAGGGCTAGAGAAATAGATGAAGGCCTCAAGTTCCAGCACAGTAGTTGGCGGTGTATGCACTGAAAGTGGGTTGCGATCCACAAATACAAATTTAAAGAAGAAGAAGAAGAAGAAGAGGCTCAAAACCTGGTTGGTTTTCCTCCTGTCACTCAGAAAATAACACTTAAGTGCGTCACAGACCCGGTGGTGGTGAAACAGAGGAGTCACTGTCCTTTTGAGTTTTGAGTCAGTCTCTACCCGACAAAGTCATGTTAGGCTCTATCAGTTATCCTGTTAGAGCTTTTGTGCCGAATCCACTGCGTTGTTTCAGGTGCAACGTTTATGGTCATTTCACAGCAGTATGTAGGAAGGAGATTCCAAGATGTGGGAAGTGTACAGGAGGGCATGGGACAGAGGACTGTGTAGTTTCGGTGGATAAAGTTGTGTTTGTTAACTGTAGGTGTGTCCATGTTGCTGGGGATCGGAAGTGTCCGGTGCGAGAGAGGCAGGCTGAGGTGGCCAGAGTCAGTGTAGTGCAGAAGGTGTTGTATGCTGAGGCAGTGAAGAGAGTAGAGGAGGATGGGTCAAGGGTGAGGGATTCTGAGAGGATTCCAGTGAGTAGTATATTTGTGCCAGCACAGAGGGATAGGCCAACAAGTGATTTATGCTTCAGTAAGGTTGGCTTCTTAGCGTTCATAGCAATGGTTATCAACTGTACCACAGAAATTGAACTTAAATCACAGAACATAGATGTTGTGGTGGCAGCTGCAAAGATGTATTTTAATTATTATTATTATTATTATTATTATATTATTATTATTATTATTTGGATATACAAGATTTGACTTCAGAAGAGTAACAGGGTGTGTTGAGGGGTGGTGTCCCTTCCTCCCAGGACGTTGGCATGGCGCAGGAGCAGATAGGGTCAAAGTAGTTGAATGGAGTAGTGGGTTTTTAATGATGGCGGTGGTGTCTAGGGCTATATTTAACTTTCTTAGAGGAACAGGACTAATGAAGATAATTTTATGTATGTAGGCCGTGACTGTCCTCACACTCCAGTACAGTAGGTGGCGGTGTATGCACCTAAAACTTGGATGCTATCCGCCAACCAAATCCCAAAGAAGAAGAAGAACACAAGGAAGTATATAACGATAACGAGAAATTGCCATGGAATGTAGCGAACTGCTATTGTAGTTTATTTTCCAGGTGAACATTAAAAACAGTTTATGGATTGGCATGCATATTTGATAAAGGCTTCAGCTCAGTTCATGGAAGCAGTCGTTTTGTTGACCATTGTGGGGCAAGCTATCTTTTCTAAAGACGCAGGTAGGTTAATAATGATACGCCCATGCAAGAGGGTACACTGTTCTTCATTGTCCGTGAATAAAAAGGATTCCGTTGGGATCAGAGTCCTATTGTAGTAGCTGATCTCGTGATGAGATTATTTATTGGATTACCCCAAAATGCAATCAACTAGGCTACAATATCTCAGAGCTGATTGTGTGATCTTTGACAAATCAGCCAATGATTGATCTATAACAAATAATCATCATCTGCTTATTTTGATATGATATTGCAATTTCCAAATGTTATGGATATTGCGATTATTTCATATAACATAGGCTTTATTCTTTTTCATGAGGCTGAGGGGAGGACAGCTCATAATAATGGCCGGAACAGAGCGAATGGCATCAAACATGTATTTGATACCATTCTACTCCAGCCATTACCACGAGCCCGTCCTCCCCAATTAAGGTGCCACCAACCTCCTATGAATAGGGCTATTGATTATGATAGTCAAGGCCTTTTCCTAGCACAGGTATTAAATAGACATAGCTTACACAAATGTTATACTTGAACCTTCAACCCATGTTGCAGTCATTGCAGTTGTATGGCATTGGGATTTCAATTTCAATTTTCTAACGACCACTGGTTTCCTCAATGATGTATCTGGAAACTGAACCTACCTGCCGGGGGATTGAGATTTTAATCAAATGAAAAGAGCTTTCAATCAACTGCTTTCAATGTAAAGAAATGAGTTGGAACTCAGCTGCATAGCCTAAGTCAAAAATAGATGTAACTTCTGGTTAATCATGTCCCTTCCATTTCCTCTTCTCTTCCCTTACCTCTAGGATCATGTCATCCAAGGAGGGGGGGGAAGGTGAAACTGCTAAATCCGGGTCTATGGCAACACAGAGTTCAATGGCCGTCAACAATGATGGGGACAACGACCACAAGAACCATCATGAGGAAGTAGGGAGGTTGCACGCGGAACCAAGCAACGAAACAGGCAGTACGGCAGACACCAGCACAGCAGCCAAGAACTTAGCTTTGCTCAAAGCCCACTCCCTGGATGTGAATTTTGAGGTTGGCGAGGAGTATGACGTCATAGAGACCATCGGCACAGGGGCCTATGGCGTCGTGTCCTCCGCCAGGAGGCGGGACAATGGTGAGAGGCTGCTTTGAAGTTTTAGGCTGTGACTGAACAAAAATACTAGTTGTCAAATCCTTGCTTGCTCCATCCTTGTTATATCAAATTCTCGCAAAGCTTGTTGTCGGGGCAGGTCCAAGGGAGGGAGGGACCTTGGATCCTCTCCACCCATTGGCTTCTGGGCGCTTGGGCCTTGGGGGCCTGGGCCTATCCAGTTTTTTGTTATAGGCCTACCTTAAAATATTGCCTGCCCAATTAATTTTTTGACATTTTTTTTAGATAGAAATTACCCATCAAAAATAATAAATTAAGGGGACATATTCATCATCTCCAGCACCACACCAGCATATGTGAAAACAGCGTGTTTCTATTAGGGCTGGTAATTGCCAAGGACCTCACGATACGATATTATCATGATACTTATCGATATTATCACTATGTATTGCGATTCTCACGATTCCATATGTGTTGCGATTTGATACTGTGATTTTATTGCGATGCGATGTTCCAAACATAACATACTTAATATAATAATAATATAATATGCCATTTAGCAGACGCTTTTATCCAAAGCGACTTAAAGTCGTGCGTGCATACATTGTTGTGTATGGGTGGTCCCTACTTCTCACCATACAGTGAGGTTTTCCTACTTACAAAGCATGTAGAGGTCTGTAATTTTTTATCATAGGTACACTTCAACTGTGAGAGACGGAATCTAAAACAAAAATCCAGAAAATCACATTGTATGATTTGTAAGTAATTAATTTGTATTTTATTGCATGACATAAGTTTGTTTTCAGACTTAGCCCCGGATGACTGGAAAGAGATTCACAGGTTATTTTACTATTAGATGGTATGCGTAATGAAATAAGGTGTGTTTGTAAAGCAGAATTTACGTTGTCATATACTGATAAAACATAATGGTTCTCTTTGTTAATCTTTATCCTATCTTTTGCTAGCTATACTGAACAAAAATATAAACGCAGCATGTAAAGTGTTGGTCCCATTTTTCATGAGCTAAAATAAAAGATCCCAGGAATTTTCCATACAGATTTTGAGCACAAATTTGTTTACTTACCTGTTAGTGAGCATTTCTCATTTGCCAAGATAATCCATCCATCTGACAGGTGTGGCATATCAAGAAGCTGATTTAATCAGCATGATCATTACACAGGTGCACCTTGTGCTGGGGACAATGAAAGGTCACTCTAAAATGTGCAGTTTTGTCACAACACAATGCCACAGATGTCTCAAGTTTTGAAGGAGCGTGCAATTGGCATGCTGACTGCAGGAATGTCCAACAGAGCTTTTGCCAGAGAATTGAATGTATATTTCTCTACCATAAGCCGCCTTGAATGTTGTTTTAGAGAATTTTGCAGTACATCCAACCGGCCTCACAATCGCAGACCATGTGTAACCACACCAGCCGAGGACCTCCACATCCAGCTTCTTCACCTGCGGGATCGTCTGAAGAGGGGGGGTGCTGAGGAGTATTTTTGTCTGTAATAAAGTCCTTTTGTGGGGAAAAACTCATTCTGATTGGCTGTGCCTGGCTACCCAGTGGGTGGACCTGGCTCCCAAGTGGGTGGACCAGGCTCCCAAGTGGGTGGGTCTATGCCCTCCCAGGCCCACCCATGGCTGCGCCCCTCACTGCCCAGTCATGTGGAATCCATAGATTAGGGCCTAATGAATTTATTTAAATTGACTGATTTCCTTCTCAGTAAAAAAACCTTTGAAATTCTTGCATGTTGCGTTTATATTTTTGTTCAGTATATTTTTTCATCTGGGTAACTTATCTGCAGGTCAACAAGTGGCAATTAAGAAGATTCCCAATGCTTTTGAGGTGGTGCAAAACGCTAAGCGTACATTGCGAGAGCTGAAGATTCTCAAGCATTTCAAACATGACAACATTATCGCCATCAAAGACATCCTCCAGCCTAGCCTCCCTCACTTCAAGTCTGTGTAAGTAACTCTTATTCTTCGTTATATTTCTGGATGCCCCTTATTTGAAAGTAAATTTTTTTGTAAAGTCAAGGGAAAAAAACATACAAATGACTGGATACAACAAAGAGTTCATTTCTCTTACTATCCCTTTCTCCATCTAATCTTTACTGTCTTGTCCTCGTCTCTCCTCCTCTTCCAGATATGTGGTTCTGGACCTGATGGAGAGTGACCTCCACCAGATAATCCACTCCCGGCAGCCGCTGACTCCAGAGCACACACGCTACTTCCTGTACCAGCTCCTACGCGGTCTCAAGTACGTGCACTCGGCCAATGTCATCCACCGCGACCTCAAGCCCTCTAACCTGCTGGTCAATGAGAACTGCGAGCTGAAGATCGGCGACTTCGGCATGGCCCGGGGCCTTAGCTCGCACCCCGAGGAGTCCCACTCCTTCATGACCGAGTACGTGGCCACGCGCTGGTACCGCGCCCCCGAGCTAATGCTCTCGCTGCACCACTACAGCCTGGCCATCGACATGTGGTCCGTGGGCTGCATCTTTGCCGAGATGCTGGGCCGCAAGCAGCTGTTTCCCGGGAAGCACTATGTCCACCAGCTGCAGCTTATCCTGTCTGTGTTGGGCACACCGCCGGAGGGCGTGATCGGGGCCATTGGGGCCGACCGGGTGCGCTCGTATGTGCGGAGCCTGCCATCGCGCGCCCCCGTGCCCCTGGCCAAGTTGTACCCGCAGGCCGAGCCTGCTGCCCTGGACCTGCTGGCCACCATGCTGCGCTTCGATCCTCGCGAGCGGATTGATGTGAGCCAGGCACTGGAGCACCCCTACCTGTCCAAGTACCACGACCAGGACGATGAGCCCATCTGCGTGCCCGCCTTCGACTTTGAGTTCGACAAGGCGCCCATGAGCCGGGAGCAGATCAAAGAGGCCATCCTGGTGGAGATCCAAGACTTCCACCGGCGGAAACAGAACAACCGCCAGAGGATCCAGTTCAGGCCCTTACAGAGGCAGGCTGGTGGCAGCAATGACCAAGGGTCTGCTCAAACCTCCACCGTCAACCTGACCAATAACTCATTGGCTTCCATGTCACGACCGTCGCAGGTATCGCAGATGCAGCCTCAACCAGTGTCAGAGACTCAAGCCAATCAGCATCATAAAACGACAGGAGGGAGCCAGACTTTCGCCAATCAGCTGCCGTCCTTTAGTAAACAGGCCCCGCCCCTTTCAGAGGTGACCCCGTCCCAACGTCTGACCCACACGTTGCCTCCCCTGACCCAGACAGAGAGTTGCCAGGACGTGGACATGCCCAGCGCCAACTCGGACAGCGGGCAGCCTGAGATCATAGACCTGATCACGCCAGTCTCTTCCCAGGGCACCTCACCGTCTGAAGCTCTGAGGGAAAGCTCGAAGGTGGAGGAGCTAGTACCCACCAGCCAGGGGGGGCCTCTGACCCAAGTCACCCAGAGTCAGCCAATGTCTCAGGGCCAGGCTGCGTCTTCCCTATCCTCCACTTTAGTACACGACACCATGGCTCCTCTGCCCAACTCTGTGCCTTCTCTCATGCTCTCCCAGGCCCAAGCTCAGTCGCTTTCGCAGTCCCTCACACAGTCATTGTCCAAGGGGGCGAGGGGAACAGCGGGGGCGGGAGAAGGGACCAGGAAAGATGGAGCCATTTCGGAGGACACCAAAGCAGCGCTCAAGGAGGCCTTGCGGAAGTCGGCTCTCAGAAACAAAGCCAGAGGTAAATTGTAACAGTCTACACTTTCGAGTCTCCTCTCCTCTTAAAAAGGTCTGACGTGCTTGCGTCTTACTGTGTTCCTTTTAAACGGATAGTTCAGTATGTGCATGACATTTTAAACATGCAGACTGGTGGACATTGACTTATATTGGGTTTTGGTTAGAAAACCAAAGCAGTCTCTCCTTGTCCATTGACTACTTTCAATGTAAGGAAACAAATGTATAAATTGTCTGCACTACCCTTTAACCAGAATATTTCTCTCTTCAGATGGAGGTCCTACAGCGCTGAGTATGGATACAGGTGGAGCAGGTCTGTCATCCTCCCTCTCTCTTCCGGAGCTACGGCGGCCCGTCACAGCCCAGGAGCGTCAAAGAGAAAGGGAGGAGAAGAGGCGGAGGAGGCAGGAGCGAGCTAAGGAGCGGGAGAGGAAGATGAAAGAGAAGGAGAGAAAAGAAGGGGACTCGTTGGGTGGGGTTCTCCTGAGCGACAACGACAAGAGCCTATTGGAACGCTGGAAGAGGATGATGGACAGCCGTGCAGACAAATCACAGACCCCTGATGTCGACGCAGCCAAAACTAAGGGCTGCAAAGTAAATTCCCACCTCGGCGGGAAGTCTAGCGATAACACCGAGGCGGCAATGGCTGTAAATCACACAAAATCGGATAAGGAAGCAGGGGAGATTCAGACTCACAAACAGACGGTACCCCAAATAGAGCCCAATCTGTCAGGCATGTTCCAGCCACTAAATACCCAGGGCTCACTGCCTTTCTCTCTAGGCCAGACAAAGGGAGGGGAGATGGGGCGTGTGGCTGTGAGTGGAGGGATGGATCTGTTGGATGGAGCCTCCTGTGGCTTAGCTAAAAACAACACGCTAAAACCGACGCAGGGTGTGTACGAAGGGCTGAGGATCTTCAACTGTCTGGGGAATTGGGCCGGGCAGCAGCAGGTAGGGGCCGGGACTTCCCAGCAACAGCAGCTACTCCTTAACAGATCACCCCAAGCCTGCCAGACAAGCTTCCCTCAGCCTCAGCTGCACCCCGTGGAGACTTTCTTGACGAAAGCCCCAGCACTGCCACCGAGAGAAACCAATGGCAACATGAGAACAGGGGGAGGCCAGAACAACATCAACGCTCACCCTAACTCAGTCACTAGTGGTGCCGGGCCCATGGAGAAGCTGTGCTCGGCTCTGAGAGAGAAGCCCGGGTCCCACACGCAGAGCCCTCTCTGCGGGGCCTTAGGGGCCCCGTCCCTTCCTCAGCCCAGCTTAGGGTTCACAGACACCGGACAGCCGGGGCACGCTGTGGCCCCTGACATCCACACGGTCACACTGCAGCTCTCAAAGTCACAGGTGGGTCTGAGTCTTCCTTTCTTCTTAATCTCGCTCTCTTTTAGAGCCCCCTGTTATATATATTTTTTAGCAGTATTGTAGTTATGTATTTTTCATATTTTTATTCAAGTCTGAATATTGGCCATATCTTGTCTGGTAATCTAACATTTGTTTGGGGGGTTATAAAAGCAGATGAACTAAACCACTAACTTAGAAAAGCTAGAGGGCAGACTTGGGACAAAATACTGATAGCAAAATACTGACAGTCAACTGAGTGGGACTTGCTATGGGTTAAAGCTATTAATGATACAAAGAATATACCTTTTAATGCCTTATGAGTTAAATTGTCGAACCCTATCAAAACTCCAAATATAACCTGACTTTACCTCAGTTTGTAAACAATGGAACTGTAAACATGTATAGCTTGAAAACATAGTTAAAAGTATAATTTTCATATTTACAATACAACATCCGTGTGTGCAGAGTGCGTGTCTAATCAAGTGTATGTGTGTCTGTGCCTGTGTGTATGTGTCTCTTCACAGTCCCTACTGTTCCATAAGGTGTATTTGTATCTGTTTTTTTAAAATCTGATTATACTGCTTGCATCAGTTACCTGATGTGGAATAGAGTTCCATGAAGCCATGGCTCTATGTAGTACTGTGCGCCTCCCATAGTCTGTTCTGGACTTGGGGATTGTGAAGAGACATTTGGTGGCATGTCTTGTGGGGTATGCATGGGTGTCCGAGCTGTGTGCTAGTAGTTTAAACCGACACTGGTGCATTCAGCCTGTCAACACTTCGTACAAACACAAATAGTGATGAAGTCAATCTCTCCTCCACTTTGAGCCATGAGAGATGTACATGCATATTGTTGTTAGCTCTCCGTGTACATTTAAGGGCCAGCCGTGCTGCCCTGTTCTGAGCCAATTGTAATTTTCCGAGGTCCCTCTTTGTGGCACCTGACCACACGACTGAACAGTAGTCCAGGTGTGACAAAACTAGGGCCTGTAGGACCTGCTTTGTTGATAGTGTTGTTAAAATGGCAGAGCAGCCCTTTATTATGGACAGACTTCTCCCCATCATAGCTACCGTTGTTTCAACATGTTTTGACCATGACAGTTTACAATCCAGGGTTACTCCAAACAGTTTAGTCACTTCAACTTGCACAATTTCCACATTATATATTACAAGATTTAGTTGAGGTTTAGGGTTTAGTGAATGATTTGTCCCAAATACAATGCTTTTAGTTTTTGAAATATTTAGGACAAACTTATTCCTTGCCACCCATTCAGAAACTAACTGCAGCTCTTTAAGTGTTGCAGTGATTTCACTCGCTGTAGTAGCTGACGTGTATAGTGTTAAATCATCCGCAAACATACACACTGGCTTTACTAATGACATGCCACTGGCCTTGAGTAAAGACTGAAAAAAGTAAGGGGTCTAGACAGCTGTCCTGGGGAATTCCTGATTCTACCGGAATTATGTTGGAGGCTTCCATTAAAGAACACCCTCTGTGTTCTGTTAGACAGGTAACTCATTATCCATAATATAGCAGGGGGTGTAAAGCCATAACACAACTTTTTCCATCAGCAGACTATGATAGATAATGTCAAAAGCCGCACTGAAGTCAAACAAAACAGCTCCCACAATCTTTTTATCGTCAGATTCTCTCAGCAAATTTTCAGTCATTTGTGTAAGTGCCGTGCTTGTTGAATGTCCTTCCCTGTAAGTGTGCTGAAAGTCTGTTGTCAATTTGTTTACAATAAAATAGTATTGTATCTGGTCAAACACAATTTTTTCCAAAAGTCTATTAAGGGTGGGTAAGAGGCTGATTGGTCGGCTATTTGAACCAGTAAAAGGGGGCTTTACTATTCTTGGGTAGCAGAATGACTTTTGCTTCCCTCCAGGCCTGAGCGCACACACTTTCTAGTAGGCTGAGATTGAAGATGTGGCAAATAGGAGTGGTAATATCGTCCGCTATTATCCTCAGTCATTTTCCATCCCAAGTTGTCAGACCCCGGTGGCTTGTCATTGTGGATAGACAACAATCCATTTTTCACATCCACACTCACTTGACGGAATTCACAATTACAATGCTCGTCTTTCATAATTTGATCAGTTATACTTGGATGTTTAGCGTCAGCGTTTGTTGCTGGCATGTCATGCCTAAATTGGCTAATCTTGCCAAAGAAAAAAATCATTAAAGTAAATGGCAATATCAGTGGGTTTTGTGATGAATGAGCCATCTGATTCAATGAATGATGGATCTAAGTTTTGCCTTTTTGTCAAATTTCATTTAAGGAGCTCCAAAGTGTTTTACTATCATTCTTTATGTCATTTATCTTTGTCATAGTGTAGTTTCTTTTTATTCAGTTTAGTCACATGATTTGCAGTACGTTTGCCAATTGGTTGTACAGCCAGACTTATTTGCCATTCCTTTTGCCTCATCCCTCAACCATACCAATTTTGAATTCCTCATCAATCCACGGGGATTTAAGTTTTTACAGTCATTTTCTTAATGGGTGCATACTTATTAGAAACTGGAATAAGCAATTTCATAAATGTGTCAAGTGCAGCGTCTGGTTGCTCCTCATTACACACCACAGACAAACAAATATTCTTTACATCAACAACAGATGTTGGTGAAGCCGGGTTTTAACGTCTCGTTGCCACTCTCAGGTGGAAGATGTGCTGCCTCCGGTGTTCTCCGTCACCCCTAAGGGCAGTGGGGCGGGGTACGGAGTGGGCTTTGACCTGGATGACCTCTTCAACCAGTCCCTCACTGACCTCCAGCACGCAGACCTCAGAGACAGGTGAGTCAAACTTTACACCTATTCCATAGTACCTGGAACAGTGTTGCAGAACACTATGAAAACATCATTCATTTGCTTATGTTAAACATAGTTTAAACAAGTATACCCCAGAAACCACTGTAATAATAATATAATATGCCATTTAGCAGACGCTTTTATCCAAAAGCGATTTACAGTCATGCGTGCATACATTTTTACGTATGGGTGGTCCCGGGGATTGAACCCACTACCCTGGCGTTACAAGCGCCATGCTCTACCAATTGAGCTACAGAGGACCACTGTAGATGCAAATGTTGTACCATACATACATTTGGAGTTGGTGTACTGTCAGTCAAAATGATAATCAGCACCAGCAGGCGAACTTCTCTAACCCTCACTCTCTTTTCCAACCCTCACTCTCTTTTCTCCTCCGTCAGTTACAATGACTCAGGCCCCCTCTCAGCCTCCCTGCTCTCTGATTGGCTGGAGGTGCACCGCATGACTCCGGCTGACCTGGAATCACTACAGCAGGAACTACAGCTAGGATCTCCCATGATCCTCTCTGACTCCATCCCTCCTGACACCTGACTCTTAATGCTTCCCTCCTTCTGGAATAACAACCAGACACTGGAGGTAGAAATGGCCCCTTACCACAGATCAGGTTACATAGGCTGCATCCCAAGTGGTACACTACTTTGGGAGTAGATTGCCCCCTAACTAGTCCCAGATCTAGGCTACTATACAGGGTATTTCATCCCCTGATGGTGAAGTTGTGTGCATCCCAAATGGTACCTTAACACCCTATGTAAATGCCCTACTTCTGACCAGGGCCTTGTGTCCCTACATCGGAAGTTTGCTAGAAAGGAAAGTCTGAGCCCTGGGTGATCAAATTAACATTTTAGTTATGCGTTTTGTAATTGACACTACTATGGAGCATTTATTTCATGTTTTTTTTTTCTACCATTACTTCATGCAGTGTTCACAGTTCTTTTAATAAAAGATAATTGGGTCATAACCGGTCTATGATTGCTGCTGTTTTACAATGGGCCCTGAAGCAGAGGAGAGAAGGGGTTTGTTAACATAATTGTAGCCTATTCAGGTTATTACACCAGCAGGGGAAAATACATTGATGAAATCACAATGACTGGGTCATGTTCATTAGGGCACGCAACAGAAAACACTTTGCAATTATTATAATTGTTTTGCATTTGTTATTGGATAAGTCCAGGTAGTCCTCCGGTTTCAGTCTGCTTTCTTCCGTTTGGTTGCCTAATGAATACGACCCTGATCAGGAATGATCTATTAGGAACAAGCCAATGCTCAACGTTGTCACCATTAAAAGCAACCCTGTTGAATCCTCTCCGCTACCATCCGCTGTCAAAAAGTTGTCGTTTCGTGTTATTGGAGAGTTGAGGGTCTTGTAATTTGAGAGTTGACAATCGTTCACCACAGTGAATGAGTGTGAACGCATGAACAGAAATGGAGATTAGTGTTGGCAGGTAATCATGTTTCACTAAATTCAGTGCAGTACTAATCTGTTGATCATTATGCATTTACATTTGTACGTTTATAAAACATATACCCATAGGCTGCCACTAAAAATAAGAAAATAAACTGAGAAATACATAGTTTAAGTAATAATATATTCAGTATAAGCAGGAAAATAAAACAAGAAGTGGGTCTCCACCCCCCCACCCCCCAACATGTCTCCACCCCCCCAACATGTCTCCACCCCCAACCCTCCCAACCCAACATGTCTCCACCCCCAACCTCCCAACCCACCCAACCCAACATGTCTCCACCCCCAACCTCCCAACATGTCTCCACCCCGAACCCCACCCAACATGTCTCCACCCCGAACCCCACCCACTCATCCATCCAACATGTCTCCACCCCGAACCCCACCCAACATGTCTCCACCCCGAACCCCACCCAACATGTCTCCACCCCGAACCCCACCCAACATGTCTCCACCCCGAACCCCACCCACCCATCCATCCAACATGTCTCCACCCCGAACCCCACCCAACATGTCTCCACCCCGAACCCCACCCACCCAACATGTCTCCACCCCAACATGTCTCCACCCCCAACCCACCTCCACCCCAACATGTATCCACCCCCAACCAACATGTCTCCACCCCCAACCCACCTCCACCCCAACATGTCTCCACCCCCAACCTCCCCCACCCAACATGTCTCCACCCCCAACATGTCTCCACCCCCAACCTCCCCACCCAACATGTCTCCACCCCCAACCCCACCCACCCAACATGTCTCCACCCCAACCTCCCAACCCCCCCAGCCAACATGTCTCCACCCCCAACCTCCCAACCCCCCCAGCCAACATGTCTCCACCCCCAACCCCCCCCAGCCAACATGTATCCACCCCCCCAACCCCACGTCTCCACCCCCCCCAACCCCACATGTCTCCACCCCCCCCAACCCCACGTCTCCACCCCCCCAACATGTCTCCACCCCCAACCCCACATGTCTGTCTCCACCCCCCAACCCCACATGTCTGTCTCCACCCCCAACCCCACCCAGCCAACATGTCTGTCTCCACCCCCAACATGTCTGTCTCCACCCCCAACCCCACCCAGCCAACATGTCTGTCTCCAACCCCACCCAGCCAACATGTCTGTCTCCACCCCCACCCAGCCAACATGTCTGTCTCCACCCCCACCCAGCCAACATGTATGTCTCCACCCCCACCCAGCCAACATGTCTCCACCCCCAACCTCACCCAGCCAACATGTCTCCACCCCCAACCCCACCCAGCCAACATGTCTCCACCCCCCAACCCCACCCAGCCAACATGTCTCCACCCCCAACCTCCCAACCCCACCCAACATGTCTCCACCCCCAACCTCCCAACCCCACCCCACCCAGCCAACATGTCTCCACCCCCAACCCCACCCAACATGTCTCCACCCCCAATCCCACCCAGCCAACATGTCTCCACCCCCAACCCCACCCAGCCAACATGTCTCCACCCCTAACCCCACCCAGCCAACATGTCTCCACTCCCACCCCAACCAGCCAACATGTCTCCACCCCCAACCCCACCCCACCCCACCCAGCCAACATGTCTCCACCCCCAACCCCACCCAGCCAACATGTCTCCACCCCCAACCCCACCCAGCCAACATGTCTCCACCCCCAAGCTCCCAACCCCACCCAGCCAACATGTCTCCACCCCCAACCTCCCAACCAGCCAACATGTCTCCACCCCCAACCCCACCCCACCCAGCCAACATGTCTCCATCCAATTTCGTAACTTTGCCCCGGAAGCATTTAACTGCAGGGCACTCACATCATATGAATGCCGACCCTTTTACCTCCTGAGGGAGTTTTCAGCTCTTATCATGACTGTTGTATACATTCCACCTCAGGACAAGAAAAATAACAAGCTGGCACTTAAACTGTACGAGGCTATAACCAAGAAGGAAAGCTTGCATCCAGAGGCTGCTTTTCTGGTTGCCGGAAATTTTTATTCTGCGTCATTACGACACGTGATGCCCAACTTACGTTAACATGTCTCCCTCGCTACTAGGGGCGATAAAGCCCACAGTTATTCTACCCGCAAGCATACAAGGCCCTCCATTCGGCAAATCAGATCATGACTCCGTACTCCTGCTTCCTGTTTTACAAGCAGAAGCTCAGACAGGAATTACCCAGGTTTTTTCGATGGAGGTCCAGTGGGTAAGATGGCAGACGGGGGGAAAAAAAGGAGGAAAGTAGAACAAGTTTTGAGTGAATATTTAATAGAGGATCATATAGAGCTTTTGGAAGAGCTACAGAAGGAAATTGAACGTGACGAGAGTGAGGATGAATGAAATGCGGTGGCAGGTGCAGTGGTGATCGCCGAAAAGGAGTTGAGCGTAGAGGGAAGCGGTGTGGTGAGGAAGGTTGGCGTCAAGTGCAAAAAGAAGGATACGTGCTCCAGTAGCTCAGAGATGGAACCTGACGAGAGTGAGGATGAAGTACCTGCAGTGAGGACCGCCGAGTTCGAGCCTCGTCCCGATGATGACAAGGATGATTCTGGCTCAGTGGAATTGAGAATTGTGGAGAGAATGGATCCTTGTATTCTGGCTGATCCATATGTGGTGTCAGGTTGGGTGGAGAAGAGGTTGAGGACTGTTTTGTTGATGAAAGTAACTAAAAGTGGACTGGTGATGATTTGTGTTTCTTCCGTCCAGAGGGAAGCGGGCGCTCCGGACCACACAACTAGGGACAAGAACTGCGACTTGCTTTGTTCTTCTGAGCAGGGCGCCGTTGAAAGGAGTGATAACGGGGGTGGCATTAAGTGTTGAGGATCAGACAGGTTTTTTACATGGAAGATACATTGGAGATAATATAAGGCAAGTATTGGAAACAATAGAACACTATGGAAAATATGGGAAACCAGGCCTGCTATTCATAGCAGACTTCAAAAAGGCATTTGATAAAGTTCGACTGGGGTTTATATATAAATGCCTGGAGCATTTCAATTTTGGAGAATCTCTTATAAAATGGGTCAAAATCATGTATAGTAACCCTAGGTGTAAAATAGTAAATAATGGCTATTTCTCAGAAAGTTTTAAACTGTCAAGAGGAGTGAAACAAGGTTGTCCACTATCGGCATATCTATTTATTGTGGCCATCGAGATGTTAGCTAATAAAATCAGATCCAATAATAATATCAGAGGATTAGAAATACAGGGCTTAAAAACAAAGGTGTCATTGTACGCAGATGATTCATGTTTTCTTTTAGATCCACAACTAGAATCCCTCCACAGCCTCATAGAGGATCTAGATACATTTTCTAACCTCTCTGGATTAAAACCAAATTATGACAAATGTACTATATTACGTATTGGATCACTAAAAAATACAATTTTTACATTACCATGTAGTTTACCAATAAAATGGTCTGATGGTGATGTGGATATACTCGGAATACATATCCCAAAGGAAATAAATGATCTCACTTCAATAAATTTTAATAGAAAGTTAGCAAAAATAGATAAGATCTTACTACCATGGAAAGGAAAATACCTGTCAATTTGTGGAAAAATCACCCTGATTAACTCTTTAGTATTATCCCAGTTTACCTATTTGCTTATGGTCTTGCCTACGCCTAGCAAACAGTTTTTTAAATTATATGAGAAAAAAATATTCAATTTTATTTGGAACGGCAAGCCAGACAAAATTAAAAGAGCATATTTATATAATGAATATGAATTCGGAGGACAGAAATTATTAAATATTAAAGCATTAGACCTATCACTAAAATCTTCAGTCATCCAAAAGTTATACTTAAATCCGAACTGGTTCTCAAGCAAATTAGTAAGATTGTCTCACCCACTGTTCAAGAAAGGCCTTTTTCCCTTTATTCAGATTACAACCTCTCACTTTCAGTTATTTGAAAAGGAAATAATCTCCCAAATGTCACTATTTCTAAAACAAGCCATAGAAAGTTGGTTGCAATTTCAATTTAATCCTCCAGAAACGACAGAACAAATAATGCAACAAATATTGTGGTTAAATTCAAATATACTAATTGACAAAAAACCTTTATTTTTTGACAGAATGTTTAAAAAAGG